AAATCTTAAATTACCAGGGAAAACCCATCACACTAGTGGAAGATTTCTCAACAGAAATTTGGCAAGACAGAAGAGAGTGGCATGATATATTTAAAGTGCTGAATGGGAAAAATCTGCAGCCAAGAATAAAAGATATCCAGGGGCGCCTGGGTGGCTCAGTTGTTAGGTGTCTGCCTTGGGTTCAGGTCATAATCCCAGGGTCCTGGGATCGAGCCCTGCATCAGACTCCCTGCTCAGCCAGGAGCCTGTTTCTCCCTCTCCCACTCCCTCTGCTTGTGTTCCCTCTCTCACTGTCCCTCTGTCAAATAAATAAATAAAATCTTAAAAAAAAAAAAGAATAAAAGATAATCCAGGAAGATTATCATTCAGAATAGAAGGAGAGATAAAGAGTTTCCCAGACAAATCAAAACTAAAGGAGTTTATGACCATTAAATCAGCCTTGCAAGAAATATTAAAGGGGACTCTATGAATGCAAAGGAGAGGCCAAAAGTGACAAAGATAAGAAAGGACTAGAAAAAATCTCCAGAAACATTGACAAAACAAGTAATAAAATGGCAATAAATACATATCTATCAATAATTACTTTGAATAAAGATGGACAAAATGTTCCAACCAAAAGACATAAGATAAAAAAGTAAAACCCATCTATTTGCTGCCTACAAAAGACTCATTTTAGACCTAAAGACACCTGGAGGTTGAAAGTGAAGGGATGGAGAAACATTTATCATGTGGATAAGTGACATCAAATGGATGTCAAAAGAAAGCCAGAGTAGCAATACTTGAGTGCAATACTTAAGTTAGACAAACTAGATTTTTAAAAAAGACTGTAACAAGAGACAAAGAAGGCAGTATATAATCATAAACTGAACAAAACAACAAGAAGATGTAATAATTGTAAATATTTATGCACCCAACATGGGACTACCCAAATACATAATACAATAATAAACATAAAGGAACCAGTTGACAAAACACAATAATAGTAGAGGATTTTAACACCCCACTTACACCAATGGACAGAGCATCTAAACAGAAAATCTAAAGGAAACAATGGCTTTGAATGACACATTGGACCAGCTGGACTTCACAGATATATTCAGAACATTCCGCCAGAAAACAGCAGAATACACATTCTTTTCAAGTGCACATGGAACATTCCCCAGAATAGGTCTTATATTAGGTCACAAAACAGGCCACAACAAATAAAAAAAGATTGAGATCATATCATGCACCTTTTGTGACCACAATAAAATGAAACTACAAGTCAACTACAAGAAAAAATTTGGAAAGACCACAAATAGAAGGAGGTTAAATGACATGCTACTAAACAATGAACAGGTCAAACCAGGAAATCAAAGAAGAAATTTAAAAAAAAAATACATGGAAACAAATGAAAGTGAAAACAGGATGGTCTAAAACCTTTGGGATGCAGTAAAAGCAGTCATAAGAGGGAACTATATAGCAATACAGGCCTTCCTCAAGAAGCAAGAAAAATCTAAAACAAACAACCTAACCTTACACTTAAAGGAGATAGAAAAAGAGCAACAAATGAAGCCTAAAGCCAACGGAAGGAAGGAAATTATAAAGGTTATAGCAAAAACTAAAAAAACAATAGAACAGATCAATGAAAGCAGGAGCTGGTTCTTTGAAAAAAATTAATAAAATTGATAAACCTCTAGCCAGATTACCAAAGAAAGAGAGAAAGAGAAAGAGAAAGAGAGATAAAGGTCCCAAATAAAATCACAAATAAGAGAGGACAAATAACAACCAACACCACAGAAATGCAAACAATTATAAGAGAATATTATGAAAAACTATATGCCAACAAATTAGACAACCTGGAAGAAATGGATGCATTCCTAGAAACATATAAACTACCAAAACTGAAACAGGAAGAAATACAAAACTTTAACAGACCAATAACCCACAAAGAGACTGAATTATTAATCAAAAAACTCCCAAAAAACGAAAGTCCAGGGCCAGATGGCTTCATAGGCAAATTCTACCAAACATTTAAAGAAGAGTTAATACCTATTCTTCTCAAACTAAACCAAAAAATAGGAAAGGAAAACTTCCAAACTTATTCTATGAGGCCAGCATTACCCTGATTCCAAAACCAAAGACCCCACTAAAAAAGAGAACTACGGGCCAATATCCCTGAAGAACACGGATGAAAAAATTCTCAACAAAATACTAGCAAACTGAATCCAACAATACACTAAAAAAATCATTCACCACAATCAAGTGGGATTTATTCTGGGTTGCAAGGGTGGTTCAGTATTTGCAAATCAATCAATGTGATGCACCACATTAATAAAAGAAAGAATAAAAGCCACATGATCATTTCAATAGATGCAGAAGAAGCATTTGACAAAGTACAACATCCATTCAAGCTAAAAACCCTCAACAAAGTAGGTTCAGAGGAAACATACCTCAACATAATAAAGACCATATATGAAAAACTCACAGCTAATATAATCTTCAATGACTGAGAGTTTTTCCTCTATGGTCAGGAACAAGGAAGGGATGTCCACTCTCACCACTGTTAGTTAACATAGTAATGGAAGTCCTAGCCTCCACAATCAGACAACAAAAAGAAATAAAAGGCATCCAAATAGGCAAAGAAGAAGTCAAACTTTCACTCAGCAGATGACATAATACTCTATGTAGAAAACCCGAAAAACTCTACCAAAAAAACTGCTAAAACTGGCACACGAATTCAGTAAAATTGCAGGATACAAAATCAACATACAGGTTATTACAAAGCTATAGTAATCAAAATAGTATGGTATTGGCACAAAAATAGACACACAGATCAATGGAACAGAATATAGTCCAGAAATAAATTATATGATCAATTAATCTTTGACAACAGAAGCAAGAATATGCAATGGGAAAAAGAAAGTCACTTCAACAAATGGTGTTGGGAAAACTGGACAGCTATATGCAAAAGAATGAAACTGGATCACTTTCTTACACCTAAGACAAAAATAAACTCAAAATGGATGAAGGACCTAAATGTGAGACCTGAAACCGTAAATATCCTAGAAGAGAGCACAGACAGTAATTTCTCAGACATTGGCCATAACAACATTTTTTCTAGATATGTCTCCTGAAGCAAGGGAAACAAATGCAAAATAAATTGAGATTTTATCAAAATAAGAAGCTTCTACACAGCAAAGGAAACAGCCAATGCAACTAAGACAACCTACTGAATGGAAGAAGATATTTGCAAATGACATATATGATAAAGGGTTAGTATCCAAAATACATAAAGAACTGATACAATTCAACACCCCCAAAGAAGAAATATTCCAATTAAAAATCGGCAGAAGACGTGAACAGATATTTCTCCAAAAAAGACATACAGATGACCAATAGACACATGAAAAGATGCTCAACATCACTTATCATCAGAGAAATGCAAATCTAAACCATAATGAAATATCACCTCACAGCTGTCAGAATGGCTAAAATCAAAAACTCAAGAAACAAGTGTTGGTGAGGATGTGGAGAAAAAGGAACCTTCTTGCACTGTTGGTGGGAATGCAAACTGATGTAGCCACTGTGGAAGACAGTATGGAGGTTTTTCAAAAAATTAAAAATAGAACTATCCTAAGGTCCAGTAACTGTACTACTGGGCATTTATCCAAAGAATACAAAAACACTAATTCAAAAGGATACATGCACCCATGTGTTTACTGCCGCATTATTTGCAATAGCCAAACTATGGAAGCAGCCCAAGTGTCCACCAATAGATGAATGGATAAAGAAGGGGTGGTATATACATAGAATGGAATATTTTTCAGATATAAAAAAAGAATGAAATCTTGCCCTTTGCAATAATGTGGATGGATCTAGAGAGTATAATGCTAAGCAAAATACCCAGTCAGAGAAAGACAAATACCATATGAAATGAAGAACTGAATTCCTCATTTAAAAGGTTATTCAACTCATGACTGGAAAATGTTTTGCAGAGACTAGCTTTGGTGCTTTGTGCTACAAACCGTGTTTTATATCCACTACTCACATACGCTGGTGCTGAGGACCTTAAGATGTGATCCCATATGTGGCCTCTGTCCTTACACCTTCACATCATAATGGACAGTGAGCAGTAGGAAAATTCCTGCAAGTCATTATTACTACACTGCAACAGGTAGAAAAGAATTAACAATTTATGAAAGTAAGTGTAAACCAAAAATATACATATCCCACTGGACCCAAAGTAAATGTATCTTAACCTCAACTGTCCTTAGCAAATACCCAAAAATTCCATAGCAAATTTCATGTCATATGACACAAGGAAGAATGGGACTAAGAGGAGCTGACATGGAAAGAGGTGGCAGTATACATGACTGCAGGTTACATAGCCTTCTTTTTAAAAAGATAACAGCTTTATTGGAATATAAATCACATACATACAGTTCACAAACTCAAAAGGTACAACTCAGTGGTTTTTAGTGGATGCATAGAGTTGTTGCAACCGTCACTACAATCAATTATAGAAATTTTCATCACTCCAAAATGAAACAGTATTATTAGCAGTATTTCTGCTCAATCCCCAGCCCTAGGTAACCAACTAATCTGCTTTCAGTCTCTATGGATTTGCCTACTCTGGACATTTCATATTATAGAATTTAATGGGTCTTTTGTGACTGGCTTCATTTCTCAAGGGTATATACTTGGGAGTAGAATTGGTGGGTCATATGGTAACTCTTAAGTTTAAACTTTTGAGGAACTGCCAAACTGTTTTCCAAATTGACTGCACCATTTTACATCCCCTACCAGCTGTGTAGGAGGGCTCTGATTTCTCCATATCCTTGCCAACACCTTTTACCATCTCTCATTTTGTTTATACCCATCTTTGTGGCCACGAAATGGTACCTCATTGTGATTTTTATTTACATTTCCCTCTTGAGTAATTATTTTGGGCATATTTTCATGTGCATTAACATTTATATATCTTCTTTGGAATAATGACTATCCTTTATATATTCTAGATAAAAGTATCAAAGGAGATTTGGATGATGCAAGTAGAAAAAATGCAGTTATTCTCGAGCAGCTGTGGCTTCATACAGTGGTGGTCAGATGTGATGTTTCTGCGGAACTGTCGAGGACCACTGACACCAGATGGCAGCACAGGTAGTCAGACTTCTCCACAAATAACGGCTTTTCTACCCCTCACCAATTCTTCAGGCTGTAGTGTTTAGTAATTATACCTTCATCCTCCCCTGACTCTCCTCTTTCCAGACTTTCATACCCCAACACCCCTTTGTCATTAAAGTTAGTCCTTAGTATTCACATAATTCCTACATAAAACAAATTCTCTCTGTAATGCTTGGTGGTGGCTCTGTTTTCCTGACTGAATCCAGACCGATCACCCAACATCGTATGAGGATAAAATTCCAATAGCAGGTAATTTCAACATTTAAAGTGCTCACTGCTCTGTGCCCCTACACATAGTATAAACGGCACCTCTCTCAAGTACTCCCAAACCTCTTTCAAGTGCTCCAGGTTCCCCTGGAATTTGCTCTACTATCTTAATCTCCAAGTATTGTGGCTCTTCTGTTTGAAACCTTTCTTTTCTTTAATCTGGTGCTCCATTTCCATGACTGGAGTAAATCTATAAAAATTATCCCTGAGGGGAACCTGAATGGCTCAGTCAGTTTAGCCTCTGACTCTTAATGTCAGCTCAGATCTCGATCTCAGGGTTGTGAGTTCAAGGCCCTCTTTGGACTTCACACTGGGTGTGGAGCCTATGTAAAAAAAAAAAAAAAATCCCTGAATTCATATTTCTAGCTCTAACTTTACTTACGTGTTTCAAGCCTATAAATTCAGTTCACTGTTTGACATCCCCATATCTTGCCCTGTAATTATTGCAAGTTTAACATATCCAAACTAAAACTTTTGGTTGTCTCCTGTGGTTCTAAATGTAATCCTTCCACAGTCTTCCCCATCTTGGTGAATAATGACTACTTTAATCTATCTTTGATTTCTATTGTTCTCTCAGGCCTCAAATTTAGTCCAACAACAAAACCTGTGAATTCTAAATTTGACAAACATCTAGAGTCAGACAAAAATCACTATTTCTAATCCATTTCCATATCATCACTCACCTAGAATTCTATACTAAGAATTCTTAACTTGCCAACTATGTTCAGTCTTACCCTCCGAGATCTAATCTAGTTCTACGGTTTTTTGTTTTAAAAAAATTAATCAAAATTTCACATACATAAACAGTAATAACCAAATTGTAATATTATGGAGATTTTCAAAGAGTAGGCATGTCTTTGTGCCATTATGTAAGTCAAGGCATAAGATTTTACAAATGTGCCCAGAAACTTAGTCATAGCACCTTCCAGATTTCCACTCCCTCTCTTTTGCCACAAAGGAACTGTAGAAAGCAATTTCTGACACTAGTTTTCAGTGATCCCTGCCTCCTATTATTCACACTCTTGTGCAATTGCCTCTGCCTTGAGTGTGAGCTGAGCCTGGTGAATTTCTTCTAGTGAACAGAATATCATAAACATGAGATGTAACTTATATGACTAAGTAACAAAAGATTGATTTCCATCTTGATAGCATTTTCTCCCTCTTATTGCTTCTCTCTATCCTATTCTCTTTTTTCTCTCTCTCCCTCCTTTTGTTCTCTCTTTCTTGGCTTGTTCACATGGATGAAGCAAGTTACCATGGTAGAGAGGCCCACATGGTAATGAATTAAGGATGACCTTCAGACAACAGCCTTCAAGGAATTGAGGCCTCCAGTCTAACAACCCATAATGAAATGAACCCTACCAACAACCACATCAGTGATCTTGGGAAGTGATCTGGAGAAGTGATCCTTCCCCACTTTGCCTTGTGCTGACTACCATCCCCAGTCAGCACTGTGATTACAGCCTATAGGAGACATTGAAGCAGAGGATGCAGCTAAACCATAGCCAGATTATTGTGACCTACAGAAGCTTTGAGATTATAAATGTTGCTATTGCAAGCTCCTAAATTTGGGGAAAATTTGTTATGTAGTAACAGATAACTAATACAGAAAGTTTTATCTGACTTCTAAAACCATAGATTGCTATTGTCTGGTTTTTGTCTTTATATAAATTGAATTATGTAGATGATTCATCTCATTTTGGCTTCTTTTGTTCAACATTATATTTTTTAAATTCATCCAAATTGTTGTATTCAGTAACAATATTTCTGCATATAACAAGGAGTGAAATTATTTCCTCATAGGGTATGTATTTGTTCATTTTATGGTAGGTAATATCAGTTTTTCAATGTGATTGTCCAAATTTATATAGTCATAGGTGATGTGTAAAATTCCCAGTTCCACAATCTTATCATCACTTACTAATGTTAGACTTGTAAATTTTAGTCATTGTAGTAAGTGTATAGTTTTAATTGTGGGTTTAATTTTTTTAATTAATTAGTGATGCTTAGGAAGGTTGAGTGCATTTTCATGTTTGCTGCTTTTTGCATACCTTCCTATTCAATATTTTTGCTTATGTGTCTAATGGGTTGTCTATCCTTTTTTTTTTCCTTCTTGATTTAGAGACTTCTTTATATACCCTATATTCTATAATTTTTTTCTGTTAGCATTTAGTTTACTTTTTAATTCTCTTAGTGGTAACATGAATTTTTAATAGTAACATAGTTAAACTTATCAATTATTTATTTACAAGTTATTGATTTATTTGTTCTATTGCCTGACCTGGAGGACATGAAAATAATCTCTGACTTTCTTCTAAACATTTTATTATTTTGTCTTCCATATTGGGATTTACAATCCACCTAGAATCAATTTTATAATGTTAGAAGGTAAGAGTCAAGTTTTATTTTTTTTCATGAGTGTGTAATGTTGACCTAGCAACATTTATTGAGAAGACTATCCTTTTGCTATAGTTGTCATGAATCAATTTTCCTTACATGCGTGAAACTAGGAATTGTATAAAATGTATAGATAAATATATAAAGAAATGACACTCAAAATTAGTCTTCCAATTCATCATCTTATGTCCCACAATTTGTTAGCCCTTTTAAATCTTTCAGTAATATTTTATATTTTGCAGCATATACTCTTTGTACATTTTGTTAGATTTATTCCTGAAATTTTTTTTAAAGATTTTATTTATTTTTGACAGAGAGAGTGTGTGTACAAGCAGGGGAAGCAGCAGGCAGAGGGAGAGAGAGAAGCAGACTTCCCGCTGAGCAGGGAGCCCAATGTGGGGCTCGATACCAGGACCCTGGGATCATGACCTGAGCTGAAGGCAGATGCTTAACTGTCTGAGCCACCCAGGCACCCCCCCTGAATGTTTTTAAATAACTTTTTGAGGCATAAACATGTATATTAAAACATATATAGGGCGCCTGGGTGGCTCAGTTGGTTGGGCGACTGCCTTCGGCTCAGGTCATGATCCTGGAGTCCCTGGATCGAGTCCCACATAGGGCTCCCTGCTCGGCAGGGAGCCTGCTTCTCCCTCTGACCCTCCCCCCTCTCATGTGCTCTCTGTCTCTCTCATTCTCTCTGTCTCAGATAAATAGATAAAAATCTTTAAAAAAAAAAACCATATATATACATAATATAAATTATTATATATAAATACAAATTACTAAAATAATTAATAAAATTAAACCAAGAAGGCAAGACTTATACAATGAAAGCTATAAAACCTAGGTGAAAGAAACTAAAGAAGACACAAATAAATGAAAAACATCCCATGTTCATGGTTTACAAGAGTTAATATTGTTAAAATGTCCGTTCTATTGTACACAATCTACAGATTCAATGAAATTCCTATCAAAATCCCAATGACATTTTATTGCAGAAATATAAAAAGTATCCTAAAATTCATATGGACTTTCAAGGAACTCTGAATAGCCCCAACAGTCTTGAAAAAGAAGAATAAAGTTGGAGGCTGCACATTTCCTTATTTCAAAACATATTACAAAGCTACAGTAATTAAAGCAGTCGGGTACTGGCATAAAGATAGACATACAGACAGCTCAGAAATAAACCCTCACATATGTGGTCAAATGATCTTTAACAAGCTTATCAAGACCACACAAGGGGGAAAGGACAGTCTCTTTAATAAAGGTGTTGGAAAAACTGAACATCCACATACAAAAGAATGAACTTGAATCTTTAAAACATATATAAAAATTAACTCAAAATACATTAAAGAACTAGACATAAAATATAAAACTTAAAAAAATTTTTTTTTAAATTTTTATTTATTTGGGGAGGAGGAGCAGAGGGAGAGGGAGAAGCAGACTCCCCACTGAGCAGGGAGCCAGACATGGGGCTAAATCCCAGGACCCTGAGATTAGGACCTGAGCTGAAGGCAGACACTAAACCAACTGAGCCACCCAGGTGCCCCTATAAAACTTTTAGAAGAAAGCATAGAGGAAAATTTCATGACTTTGGTTTTGGCTATGATTTTTTGGATATGACAATAACAAATCACAGAAACAAAAGCAAAAACAGAAAAACGGTACTATGTCAAATTTTAAAACTTCTGTGCATTAAAGGAAACAGCCATGATGTGATGAGTACAGGGTTTTATACAAAATTTATGAATTATTGAACACTACATCTGAAACTAATGATAAGCTGGCTAACTGAATTTAAATTAAAAAAAAAGAAAAATAATCTGATTTAAAAAAGGGGGGGGAACAACCAATGGAATGAAAAAGCGATGTACGGAATGGGGGGAAATATTTGAAAATCATATATCTGATAGGGGACAAATATCTAGACTATATAAAGAGCTTCTACAATTTACAACAACAAGAAAGAAGTAACTCAGTTTTTTAAATGTTCAAAGGAGTTACATAGACATTTCATTAAAGAAGAAACAAATAGCCAAGAAGCATATGACAAAATGCTTAATATCACTAATCATTAGAGAAATGCAAATCAAAAATATAATGAGATATTATCTCACACATATTGGGATGGCCACTATAAACAAAATAGAAAATAACAAATATTGGTGAAAATATGGAGAAATTGGAACTCTTGTATAATGTGAATGGAAATAAAAAATGGCAGCGCCTGGGTGGTTCAGTTGGTTAAGTGTCCAACTCTTGATTTTGACTGACGTCATGATCTCAGGGTTGTGAGATTGAACCCCACATCAGGCTCCATGCAGAGCATGGAGTCTGCTTAAGAGTCTCTCTCTCTTGGGGCTCCTGGGTGGCTCGGTTAATCATCTGCCTTTGGCTTGGGTCATGATCCCAGAGTCCTGGGACCAAGCCCTGCATCAGGCTCCTTGCTCGGCGGGGAGCCTGCTTCTCCCTCTCTCTCTGCTTGCTGCTCCCCCTGCTTGCTCTCTCTCTCTGTCAAGTAAATAAATAAAATCTTGAAAGAAAAAAAAAATCTCTCTCTCTCTCTCTCCCTCTCTCTCTGTCCCTCCCTGTACTACACGCATGCTCTCTCTCTCTCTCTCCAAAAAAAAAAAAAAATGCAGTTGCTATGGAAAACTATAAGATGGATTCTCAAAAAATTAGAAATAGAGTTAACCATATGGTTCAGAAATTTTACTAATGAGTATGCATCTAAAAGAACTGAAAGCAAGATCTTGAAGAGATAGTTGCATACCCACATTTATTGCAACATTATTCACAATGTTCAAGAGGTAGAAGCAACCTATATGTCTATATGGAGAGAAGAATGGATAAAGAAAATGTTGTGTATATATACAATGGAATGTTAGTCTTAACAAGAAAATCTGTCACATGCTAAAACAAGAACTAACCATGAATAAAAAAAAAAATCAAAAAAAAAAAAAAAGAACTAACCATGAAAGCATTAAGTGAAATAATCAATTACAAAAGACAAATACTTTATGATTTCACCTATATGAGGTATCTAAGTTAGTCAAACTCAAACACAGAAAGTAGAAATGGTGGTCGCCAAGGGCTGGAGTGAGAAGAGAATGGGATGTACATTTGCTCTCTCTCTCTACACATACACACACACACACACACCCTGAAAGTTGTTTTTCTAACTTGCTGGTCTTGCCTCCTATTGTATATGAGACTCAGTAACCCCAACTAAATAAATGAACTCCTGCTATTGAGTCCTGTAAAATGTTCTGCATGGAGTTCTCCATGTGTAAAGCAGCTTAATACAAAAACATTCTAGACCTGTAATTCTGGATAACATTTGAAACCATTAAGCATATATAAATACATAAATTTTAATGTAATAATACTAACATGCAAATTAATTTGATTTGTTTCTGTCTTTTAGAATAAGTATTCTACAGGCTGCAACTCCAAGTATACTGGAAAGTGAGGAAATATAGCTTTTCACACCTAGTGTTTAAAAGAAAAAGTCCTTAGAACAATTTTCAAGCCTGACATAGAAACAAAAATAAAAACTGCACACATTATGTTACACAGGAAGGAGGTTTTTCTTAACATCTGGCCTATTTATGAGAAACTAAGGGCTTGTTCCTGCTCTTGTTTTTAACTGACATGTGTTCAGTAAAAATAGTTCCAGGTTGTCCTTGAGACAAGAAATCCCTTAATTGAGAACCAGAGACTTTTTTATTGTTAAAAGAACTAATCAGACTGTCACAGTTAGTGAGGATAAAGGGAGAGATATACAGCACCAGAGTGTTCCAGGCCACTTTTGCAAATACAGAGGCATGGATGAACTTAATTTGACCTTCCTCTTTTAATATACTGACTTAACATTTAAAGAAATCTCAATTGTCAGGGTCTTGTGGCCCACTGAACAGCTAGTTTAAAAATATCTTAAAATGCCAGTTAGTTAACATACAATGTTTCAGGTGTACAAATAAAAACTAAAAAAAAAAAAAAAATTCCAGATAAATAAAAACTGAGAATTTTTTACTGGCAGACTCATCTCACAAGAAATAGTGAAATTCTTAGATTGAAAATGAGCTAAGATAATATGAATGCACATAAAGAGAAGAACACTAGTAAATTATGTAATTATAAGACAGTATAAATAGTTTTCTTAACTGATTTTTTAAATAAATAAATAAATAAAATCTTTAAACTGTATTTACTGGTCTGTAAAATGCCAGTAATAATACCTACATCATAAGCATGTGCTGAAGAATAAATTAAATTTAATTAGTAACACCTATAAGGAATTAATACAATGTCTACCATATAGTAGGCACCAAATGCATTTTACTTATTACAACATTATTTCAGGTTTCAATGCCTCAACAAAACCTATATACTATGAGATAAAAATGTAAAAAATAATTATATAAGTATATGTTCTTTTTCAGCAGTAATCAAAAATTGTCTACTGAAACAGCGTGATATTATCTACCTCTCACTGTAGCTTAGATTTTAAAAAGCTATGATTCCACTTGTTTGGGAGGATGTGAAAGGACATACTTTATATATATATTTGGAGAGTAGGAGAGTATAAACATTTCCAGAAGGAAATTTTACAGAATGTCTCAAAAGTCTCTAAGAGGAGCATAACCTTTAACCAACGTGTTCACTTTCACAGTTGGATCCACTCAATCACAAATACTTAGTGAAGGCCTATTATGTGTCAAGTACTTTTTTGAGGGACTCGGAAGTCAAAAAGACACAAAAATCGCTGCCTTCATGGAGGTAACATTCTAGCAGGCAATAAAAATATAAACTATCCAGGGGCTCCTGGGTGGCTCAGTCGTTAAGCGTCTGCCTTCGGCTCAGGTCATGATCCCAGCGTCCTGGGATCGAGCCCCGCATCGGGCTCTCTGCTCAGCAGGAAGCCTTCTTCTCCCTCTCCCACTCCCCCTGTTTGTGTTCCCTCTCTCACTGTGTCTCTCTCTGTCAAATAAGTAAATAAAATCTTTAATATATACATATATAAACTATCCAGAATGTCATATGACAGTTTCTATGCAGAAAAGCGAAGCAGGAATAGGGGAGAGAAAATGCTGGCAATTTAAAGTAGACCAATTTTATAGAGGGGGTCAGGAAGAGCACCAGTGAAGTGACCCTTCAGTGAAGAGCTAAAGCTGTAAAGGGAGTAGGTCACTTGGATATACAGGGGAACAGCCTAGGTTGCCAGGGAAACAGCAAGTACAAAGGCCCTAGGGAAAGATCATGCTCAGCATGTTTGTGAGAGGCCAGGAGAGGGAAGTTATAGGGGAGAAACCCCAAGTCCATAACCCCTGTAGTCTCCTGTGAGGACAATGTTTTTATATATACTGAAGCAAGATGCTCTCAGCCTGAGATGAGTTCAGGCCTTCTCTGAACTGTCCACTACACCCAGAGCTAGCATCAGAGGTGAGATTGAGAAGATTCGAGTCAGTGCCCCAGAAGCATCTAAAATGGTTCACTCCTTGCACCACTCTGATCACTGTGCCTTACAGTAAATGAAATCCATCATCGTATCTTCAAGTTGGTGACTAGCTACAATCCTATAAAGGACTTCATACACATGACTTTGTACATGCCACAGACTTTAACTCCTGCAACTTGTCATAGGCCATAATTGATGTTCATCATGTCTCTCCTCCACCACCCATTTTAGATTTTCCTTGTTATAGCCAAAAGCAGGCATCCTCCTTTAGCTATTAAACAAAGTTGAGCTGTGTGCCTAAAACACTCCTTCTACAAAACAAGACTAACCCAAAGAGAAAATATAACTGGAATGATACTTAAGGATTTAATAACTTCAGGTACTAGAAGGTCAGCTTATCCTCTGATGAAAAAGGTAATGAGCTCCTGTGGGACAGCACATTCTACTTATTTATTAATGTTTATAAGGAGTGCATGTAGCCCTTTGTCTTTACTTTTTATATGGCTGCATTGTTATATGACATACTCATACCAATGCCCACAAATACTGTCCAATGGCAAGTTACAATCACCCAGAATATATTTCACTTTGTTGAATAAAGTTACAGATAAGATTTTGCAGTTGGGGAAAAAAAACATAAATTTCTCATGGTTTTCTGTCATAACTTAAACATACAATATTACCAGTTGATCAGTATTTGTCAAAATCATGGAAAATCTACAATAATGGAGTAGCATTTGGACTCTACATTACACTTGACTTTATTATGTTTCCCTTTTATTTTGACTAATTCATCATAATCTATTTGGGATACAGATACTACATTTATTTTGTTTTGTTTTGTTTTGTTTTTTAATTTTAACATTTTTCCAAGTAGTCATGCAAAAGTTGATTAAGTCCAGCAAATAGTTTGAAGATTTCCATGACATTTGAAGAATGTCACTCTTCATCATGATGTCCAGTAGAGCAAACCTCATTCTAAAATGTAATAATTGCAACAACTCATTCAAAACAATAGCAAAGTTTCAAGACATTAATAAATACTTTTATATTTGATTTATAGTGAATCCAAGTAAATTCAAAGCTTTTTATGCTCTGTGGCATCTTCATCAAATTTTGAGGGTTCTTTTCTTTTTACTCCATTTGGAAACTACATGTTATAAGTATTGTCTGTCCTGGTGAAAATTATTCACTAACTCAGCAACATATACAAACTTTTAGTTCTGGAATAGACTAGCTATGATCTCGTAATTGTTTGAATAATTTTTAAAATTTGAATATTGTTTATTAGCTCAGGGACAAATACAGGCCTAAGTAGTCCCAAGAGAATAACTCCAATCCCTCAACTTAAAAGCTTAAAGAATGGCACCAAAGGATGCCACAGCCTTGATTCAAACTTCCATCATTTCATAATAAAGGAGATAGATATAGGATAAGAGACATCAACTACTCTTTCTTATAGCTACATGTTTATTTAACATTTGCAATGACCGGTCTAAAATGTCTGTTCAAATATTCGATGGTCCCTTCCAAGAGAGGGTGGGAGGCAGAATTCCTGCTTTTTACAACAGCAACTACCAAAGAAGTCCATGACCTAAGGAGATAATAAGGTTCTATAAGATCTTTTTTTTTAGGAAATACACACTGGATTATTTAGGAGTAAAGAGGCATTATGCCTATAACTAACTCTGAAATAGTTCAGAGAGAGAAGGAAAGTACACGTGGTAAAATAACCTTTGGGAAATTGGGTAAATCTCTTCTCTCTTTTACCAAGTTTGTGAGGAATTTTATCAGTAATTCAATCTCTTTACTTGTCTACTTTGGTGCATTCGGATGAGCTATTTATTCTTGAGACAGTTTAAGTAGTTTGTGTCTTTCTAGGTACTAGTCTATTTTTCTTTTATTTTCTTTTTGTAAAGATTATTTATTTATTTATTTATTTGAGAGAGAGTGCAAGCGAGCCAGGGCAGGAGCAGAGGGAGAGGGACAAGCAGACTCTGCCCTGAGTGCGGAATCTGACGTGGGGCTCAATCTCACAACCCTGAGACCATGACCTGAGCCAAAATCAAGAGTTGGCCACTTAACCCACTGAGCCACCCAGGTGCCCCGGTACTAGTCTATTCTTTAAACAATTTGTTGGCATACAGTTGTTCATAGTATTGTCTTGTAATTCTTTTTATTTCTGAAAGTCGATATTAATATTCCCTATTTCATTCCTGATTTTAGTAATTTGAGTCTTCCATCCTTTTTTCTTGGCCAATTTGACTTAAAGTTTGTCAATTTTGTTGATCTTTTCAAAGATAGGCTTTTGGTTTCATTAATTTTCTCTATTTCATTAATTTCATTACACTCATTTACAAAAATCTTTATTATTTTCTCCATTCCGTTCTTTGGATTTAGTTTGCTCTTCTTTTACCAGTTACTTAAGGTGAAAAGATACTGAGTTGAGATTTATTATTTTCTTAATGGCTGCCCCAGGGCTAACCACATATAAACATAGATATAAATAGATAGAGATATAGATCTTCTTTAAGCCTAAAATTTATGCTAAATTAGCTCCAGCAAGATATAGAATTTTTACTCCTATGCTCCTACTCCTTCCTCCCCCTTTTTGAGCTACTGATCTCATATATATTACATATTACATCTACATATATTACAAGCCCAACAATACATTGCTGTAATTATTAATTTATATAATTGTGTGTCTTTTAAAGAAGCTGAAGGAGAAAGAATAAATGTATAGGACTTGTTATATTAACTTTCTTACTTACAATTTCTGGTTCTCTTTATTCCCATGGATTCAAGTCAATGTCTGGTGTTATATCTTTATCCCAATAAGCTTTGCACTCATGTAACTCCTTTGCTCTGTTGTTAATATATTACATTTATATATGCTATAGGCCCTGTGATACAATTATATACATATTATTTTATACAATTGCATTTTAAGTTAGTTAAGAAAAGAGAAATAATATGCATTTATTTTGTCTTTTATAATTACATATTCCCTCACTGATGTTGTTAGTTTTTCCACTTGGGGTCACTTGCTCCCCCCCTGAAAATCTCTTGTTAGTATTTCTTATAATGTCAATCTGCTAGCAATAAATTTTCTTTAAGTCCTTAGGCTTGAACTTCCCCCCCACACTCCATTCCAAATAAAGCCAGTCCCTTTGGGGAGAGCCTCAGAGTGCTCTGTGTTTATGGACTGCCTCTCTCCTTGGACAAAAATCTCCTTGCTCTTCCACTCGGCAGGGATGGTAGCCTCCGGTGTTCTTCACTTGCCTTTCCCAAACATGGGAACTCCACCCTACAAATGAACCAGAGTGAGGGTGGTCAGGCCAGGTGTTCTCAGCCTGCCTCGTCTGGGCTAAATCCTCCACTCCAAAAGCATGGCTCAGTGGAGACTGGGAGCCCCCAGCCTCCGGCCACACTAACCAGCAATTTAGTCTCTGCAGCTCAGTGTTAGAGGGGATGAGAAATACTGGTGACCTGCACTTACCAGTGAGATACCTTATCTCTGCTTGGAAGATGAGGGAAAAGCAAGCCACATCTTGTTTTCCATATCCACCTGAAGTGGAGTTTTGTCAAACTGAACTGGGAATGGGGAGAGAGTGTGTCCTGGCTCAAGTGCCATAGACTCTCAGCTTTTCTCACCAGAGTTGTAGGAGATCTTCCTGAATAAATGTTCCATTATTTGATGTGTGACTTTAGGACAACTTGCAGATATTTTTTTATTTTTTATTTTTTTAGAGAGAACACATGAGTGCATTCATGAATGCACAAGTGGGGGGTGGGGCAGAGGGAGAATCTCAAGCAGGCTCCATGCTCAGTGCAGCCCTCAATGCAGGGCTCCATCTCAGGACTACAAGATCATTACTTGAGCCAAAACCAAGAATCAGGCACTTAACTCACTGAGCCACCCAGGCATCCCACAGATATTTTAAGTAGTTCAAATTATTTGACAGAAGAATGTTTCTGAAAAAGAAATAAGTTAAATGATTTTAAAGTAGCTTTAATAATGATGAAGCTAAATGTTAAAAAGGGATGGGAAGAGTTTGAATAAAATCATTTTTTAAGTATGAGTAAGAAACAATATATTTGTATTACAAATACATGTGATATGGAATTTTAAATATGTGTAATGAAATTAACAAATAACTGCTTTACATAGGTATTTTACTCTTTTTTCTATACTTCAAAAAGTTTATATATTCAAATTGGCAAAAGTTTCTCTCATAGTTGAGGTCATTTTATATTTAGTCACATAATAGCCATTGAACTTCTACTCTGTGCCAAGCCCTATTGTAGGTGAATACATGAGTTACCTGCTTTTATGAACTTGAATTTCAGGCGGTCATAAGGGAAAAAAAATCAAGGTTATGTGATGGGAGATTGGCAAAGGGCTCACAGGAGACCAGTAGAATAGGAGGGGACCAATCTTGCCAAGATTAAGGATAAGAAAGTTTCAGATCTTCAAAATTGCTGCACCCGGACCGTTAAGGCAGGAAGTAACTGGGTATGTACCAACAACGGAAAGACCCAGAGAAATCATACTTTTCAAAACAAATTGAAATGCTACTTACTCAGAGACATTTGGAAAGATAATGCAAAAAGGGACAAGAAAAGAAAGTGTCCAGTTCTATTTGTTAAATTTCTCACACTGGCTTCTAGGTGTAGAGAAATATCTGGGATCAGCAGAGAACCTGGTAAACCTCTCCCTTTCTCCTCATTCCTTTCAGAAACAATGTGGAGGAGGAGGAAAAAGCAGAGTTTAAAGGTAAAAATAGTTTAAAATTTGATTCCCACACTTGTGACTTGCATAGTGAATATGGATAGGCATATTATTTACCCTCCCTCAAGCCTCCTTGTTTTCAGGGTAAGATGAAGACAATGTCACTTATTTAATCAGGAATGAGTTAGACAAGTAACACCCATAGAAAAAATTCAAGAGATAAAGCTGTTACTTCTATTGCTATTCACTCAGAAAACCTAGAAAGTAACTTAACAAGAGGGCTTGGGGACAAGGATGATTCAGTTCAGATTACTTACAGTGCTGTGATTTGGGTTAAGACATTCAACCTTTCAGTCAGTGTCTCAGTTTCTATAAAATCATGGGGAAATGTTAGCATGAGATATAAGTTATGAAACCTCTGTAAAGCAGTTCGCATAGAGCCTAGAGCACGTGTGCAATATATGGAGACCCTTCCTAACTGCCCACTGGGGATTAGTGCCAGATGCTGTGTGTTTGTGAGTGTGTGAGGCATGTCCTTTTCCTCACTTACTGTATGTATAAGTGAGAAGCCAGGTCCACTGTAAGTGTGTTCATTACTTAAGGAATAGACCTAAAAATTAACATGATTGCTTCCTCATTCTGGGTTTCTCAAACTGAACCCCAACTCTGAGATCCATTTCACTATATTTAAACATCTGATAGACATTTGTTTAAATCAGCAAATATTCTCTAAGATCTCTTTCAAAGAAATGTGAAGTTTCTGGTTGAGAAATTGTGTTAAGCCCCTCTACCCTCCCACTGGTTAGCTTGCAAAAATTCCTTTTGTGGTCATTGGGCTTATTGCTTTGTGTTCAGTGCTTTCATTTTCATGTTACTATAAAGTCTGTTACAGTGGTTGTTTCATTTCTGTTTTGTCTTTAAAGGAAATCTGGAAAGTCCAAAGACATTGGACAGGTGAAATAAAAGATCCACGATCCAGTGAAAGACAGAGAAATAACAGAAAACACTCCACCTAACAGAGGAGGAAAAAAAGAGGTAAGAACTCCACTTTCTCATCAAAGCAGCTTTCTCTTCAGCTTAAAGAAGCTCTGCTCTGGGAAAAGGAGCTCATGATAAGGTTGGGGCAGGAATGGGAAGGGATTTATAAGGGTCTGTTTTCTTAAGGAATGACCAGCATCAGGACAGGCTGCAGGTAAGCCTGCTATGGGACACCAGGTCAGATGATGAGATACTGCTGTTACCAGGTGGTAGCATGTTCCTACCTGTTCTGCACTGTGTTTGGGCAGAATTAGGCACCAGCAGACATGGGCCTAAATGAAGTTTGACATGCATTAGGATTGTCTTTCTCTTTGCTGACTGTGTTGACTGGGGACACAATTAAATTGCCATTGTCTTTGATGGAACTTGCTCAGTACCCATCTGACTGCAGCTAAGAAACTGAAAGGCAACTGAAATATGTTATATTCATGAGAAGGAAAGAGTAGTAAATGAGGTGCAGTGTAAACAGCCACTGACACTGTTAAAGACAGAGAAAGAAAAAACTGAAACCCGGAGTGAAAGATGAAGATTTATGAAAACACCATACTTTTTATTTATTTTTTTAATTAATTAATTTTTTAAAAGATTTTATTTATTTATATGAGAGAGAGAATGAGATAGAGAGCATGAGAGGGGGGAGGGTCAGAGGGAGAAGCAGGCTCCTCGCTGAGCAGGGAGCCCGATGCGGGACTCCAGGATCATGACCTGAGCCGAAGGCAGTCGCTTAACCAACTGAGCCACCCAGGCGCCCGAAAACACCATACTTTTTAATCACATACTTGAACTTTGTTTCAAAGTGTATTTCTTCCTGTAGAAATAGTCCACGTTCAGTAGATCCAATTTCTTAGTGCCAACTTATTCCTTACCCCTTACAAGTAGAATCTGCAGCCCTATTTTACTAAAAAGTTTCCTCTTTAAAGAATCTACTGTGATGCATCACTAAAGGCAACATCTTTGTTTGCCTTGACCTCTCTGTGCTCTCAAGCAGTTCCAATCTTGCCTTCTGGAAACTCCTGCCCTGAATTCCATGGCTTGGCACGAGCTTTATTCATCATCCCCTTGTCTAACGGCACTCTCTCCTTTTCAGTTTCTCTTCCTCCCTTCCCCTCATCTCTCATTCCTCTCCCCCTCCCCTTCCCCTTCTCTTCCTGCTTCTCCTTCTCTGCAAAATGGAAGAGCAAAACAAAACAGAAAACTTAGAAGTGTATGGCTGAAAATACAAATATTTTCTTTGCACAACTTCCCCTCTGCCTCTCCTGATCTGCCTCCTGATTTTTTTTTTTTTTTTTTAGTTTCAGGTGTACAATATAATGATTCAACAATTCTGTATGTTACTCAGTGCTCATCACAATAAGCAAACCCTTAATTCCCTTCACATATTTCACCCAAACCCCCACCCACCTCGCCTCTAGCAACCTCTAGTTTGTTCTCTATATTTAAGACTCTGTTTAATTTTAGGAGACAAACTGAGGGTTGCTGGAGTGGTGGGGGTGGGAGGGATGGGGTGGCTGGGTGATAGACACTGGGGAGGGTATGTGCTATGGTGAGTGCTGTGAATTGTGTAAGACTGTTGAATCACAGACCTGTACCTCTGAAAGAAATAATACATTATATGTTTAAAAAAAAAAAAAAGAAGAAGAAGATAGTAGGAAGGGAAAAATGAAGGGGGGGAAATCGGAGGGGGAGACAAACCATGAGACTATGGACTCTGAGAAACAAACCGAGGGTTCTAGAGGGGAGGGGGTTGGGGGGATGGGTTAGCCCGGTGATGGGTATTAAAGAGGGCATGTACTGCATGGACCACTGGGTGTTATACGCAAACAATGAATCATGGAACACTACATCAAAAACTAATGATGTAATGTATGGTGATTAACATAATAAAAAAACTTACTGTGAAACATAAAAAATAAAATAAGATAAAATGTGGAATTAAAAAAAAGAGTCTGGGGGCGCCTGGGTGGCTCAGTCGTTAAGCATCTGCCTTCGGCTCAGGTCATGATCCCAGGGTCCTGGGATCGAGCCCCGCATCGGGCTCCCTGCTCAGCGGGAAGCCTGCTTCTCCCTCCCCCACTCCCCCTGCTTGTGTTCCCTCTCTTGCTGTGTCTCTCTCTGTCAAATAAATAAAATCTTTAAAAAAAAAAAAAGAGTCTGTTTTTGGTTTGTTTTTCTCTTTTTTGCTTTGTTTATTTGCTTTGTTTCTTAAATTAATCCCACATATGGGTGAAATCATATAGTATTTGTCTTTCTCTAACTGATTTATTTCACTTAGTAATACTCTCTAGATCCACGCATGTTGTTGGAAATGGCAAGCTCTTATTCTTTTTATGGCTGAGTAGTATTCCATCATATTAAAGGCATAATGTATATTATATATAGTAATATATATAATATATATAATAAAGGCAATTATTACATATATGTGTATGTGTGTGTGTATATATATATATATATATACACATACATATATATACATATATATATATACCACTTCCTCTTTATCCACTTTATCTACACATCTACAGATGGACACTTGGGTTGCTTCCATATCTTGGCTATTGGAAAATATGCTGCAGTAAATATGAGACTGCATATATCTTTTTGAATTGGTGGTTTTGTTTTCTTTGCATAAATACCCAGTAGTGGAATTACTGGATCATATGGTAGTTCTATTTTTAATTTTTGAGGAACCTCCATACTGTTTTCCACAGTGGCTACATCAGTTTGCATTCCCACCAACAGTGCACCAGGAATACCTTTCTCCACATCCTCACCAACACTTGTTTCTTGAGTTTTTTATTTTAGTCATTCTGACAGGTATACGGTGATATCTCATTGTAGTTTTGATTTGCATTTCCCTGATGATGAGTGATGTTGATGAGCATCTTTTCATGTGTCTGTTGGCCATCTGTATGTCTTCTTTGGAAAAATGTCTGTTCATGTCTTCTGTGCATTTTTAATGGGATTACTGGTTTTTTGGTGTTGAGTTATATGTTTTTTTATATATTTTGGATACTAACTCCTTATCAGATATGTCATTTGCAAATATCTTCTCCAGTTCAGTAGGTTATCTTTTTGTTTTGTTGATGGTTTCCTTCACTGTGCAAAAGCTTCTTATTTTGATGCAGTCCCAATAGTTTATTTTTGCTTTTGTTTCACTTGCCTCTGGAGAAAAATGTTTCTACGGCTGAGGGCAAAGAAATTACTGCCTATGTTTTCTCCTAGGAATTTTGTGGTTTCACATCTCACATTTAGGTCTTTAATCCATTTGAGTTTATTTTTGTGTATGGTATAAGAAAATGGTCCAGTCTCATTCTTTTGCATGTACTGTCCTGTTTTCCCAACACCACTTCTAGAAGAATCTTTTTCCCATTGCATATTCTTTTTCTTTTAAATATGTATTTATTTATTTTAGAGAGAAAGAGAGAGAGTGCATGAGCGGGGGGAAGGGCGGAGGGAGAGGCAGAAAGAGAATCCCAAGTAGGCTCCATGCTGGGCATGCAAGGCTCAATCCCACAACCCCAAGATCACAACCTGAGCCGAAATCAAGAGCTGGACACTCAACTGACTGAGTCACCCAGGCACCCCTCCCATTGCATATTCTTGCCTCCTTTGTTGTAGATCAATTGACCATAAAAGCATGACTTTATTTCTGGACTCTCTATTCTGTTCTATTGATCTATGTGTTCCTTTTTGTGCCAGTACCATACTGTTTTGATTACTACAGCTTTATAGTATATCTTGAAATCCAAGATTCTGATACCTCCAGTTTTGTTCTTCTTTTTCAAAATTGCCTTGGCACGATGGACTCTGAAAAACAAACTGAGGGTTCTAGAGGGGAGGGGGGTGGGACGATGGGTTAGCCTGGTGATGGGTATTAAAGAGGGCACATTCTGCATGGAGCACTGGGTGTTATGCACAAACAATGAATCATGGAACACTACGTCTAAAACTAATGATGTAACGTATGGTGATTAACATAACAATAAAAAATTGAAAAATTCAAAATTGCCTTGGCAATTTGTAGTTCCATACAAATTTTAGGATTATTTGTTCTAGTTCTGTGAAAAATGCTGTTGGTGTTTTGATAGAAGCTAATGAAGCTTAAGTTTAAAGGCCCCTTGCTTACTTAAGCCCATACTAAGGCTTGGAAGGGTCTCTAGTCATGTGTCTCACATGGTCATATGTTTTTATAAAATTTGCAAAAGTAAGTTATATTGGTTTCACTTTGGGAACAGCAGTGTGAGAAGCTCTGTGGGCCATCATTCCAGCAAAATAAGCATAACTATGGGGGAAAAATACTTAAAATCTCTGGGAACTATTCAAAGGGTATACATGAAATGATGTATGAAAGTCTTTATTCATAGTAAGAATTAATGAATAAGTAAATCAACATTGAATTTTTTACATATAACCAAGATGTAAAATAAATCTCTCTAAATTCTATTCTATTTTCCATTTAAAGTTTACTCTAAATTTTTAAATGCAAATCCAAAAAGAAAGTTTTCCATGGTGAATTAAATGAACGATTTTGTTTATGAGAGAGGCTGAATGTTCCTAAAATACTGTCATGCCAATATTTTTTGAGTGGACCACTTTGACAATACTTCTGTAACTTTCCAAAATGATACAGATATTACCCTCATCTATCTCAATGCTGACACCAAACTTTTGGCCATTTTGGGGAAAGTGAGGACTCTAGCTTCTAAATGTAAAATAACCTGGTGAAATATCTGATCCACTTAGACTGGAAATTTTATTTCATCTCATCTCTTCCCTTGCAGACCAGGGAACACTCTGAACATGGCCTCAGAGATCCACATGCCAGCCCCAGTGTGCCTCATTGAGAATAATGGAGAACAACTGGTGGCTAATCAGGAAGTTTTGGAGATCCTGGCAGCCAATAAGAATCCTCTTGTTGTGGTGGCTATTGTGGGCCTCTATCGCACAGGCAAATCCTACCTAATGAACAAGCTGGCTGGAAAGAACAAGGGTGAGTGGCACCAACAAAGCTCTGCCAAGTCCTTTCTGTCCACCCACACTGCCAACATGGAGCACAGTGATGCAAGAAAGTTAGAGATGCAAGAGAATACCGAAAGGTATCTTTCAATCCACAGTTATGCTCTTATCTTCACTATGGTCTGAAAAAGACAGTTCATCTCTCTTTCCACTTTGCCTTAGTTTCCCCTTTATGCTTTTAAAGCATAAATTGTTCCTTTTAAAGCATAAATTGTTCCTTTCCTAGAAAGACTAATAATGCAGTAATACAAATAATTAGTGTACAAAATAATAAACTATCAGACATTTACTAAAATGTTCATGCAGTAAAAGCAAGTTTCCACTGATTATTAAGTGGAATGTTTAAGTCTGTATTGGCTTTTTTTTACTGTTGTAAAATATACATAACATAAAATTTGCCACTGTAACCATTTTTAAGTGTACATGCAGTTCTGTGGCATTAAGTAAATTCACACTATTTTTTTTAAAGATTTTATTTATTCATTTGAGACACAGAGATACAGAGAGAGAAAGAGCATGAGCAGTGGGAGAGGCAGAGGGAGAGGAAGAAGCAGACTCCCTGCTGAGTCAGGAGCCCGATGTGGGGCTCGATCCCAGGACCCTGGGATCATGACCTGAGCCGAAGGCAGACGCTTAACCATCTGAGCCACCCAGGCGCCCCATAAATTCACACTATTATGCAACCATCACCACCATCCATCACCATAACTTTTTCATCTTCCCCAACAGAAACTCTGTACCCATTAAACAATAACTCCCCAGCCCTTGGCAGTCACCATTCTATATTCTGTCTCTATGAATTTGACTGCTCTAGGAATCTTATTTAAGAGGAATCAAACAGGGGCGCCTGGGTGGCTCAGTTGGTTAAGCGGCTGCCTTCGGCTCCGGTCATGATTCCAGGGTCCTGGGATCGAGCCCCGCATCGGGCTCCCTGCTCAGCTGGGAGTCTGCTTCTCCCTCTGCCTCTGGCTCTTCCCCTGCTTGTGCTCTCTCTCTGTCAAATAAATAAATAAAATCTTAAAAAAAAAAAAAGAGGAATCAGACATTATTTGTCCTTTTGTGATTTGCTTATTTCACTTAGCATAATGTCTTCAAAATTCATCAATGTTGTACCATGTGTCAGAATTCTCCCTGTTTATGGCTGAACAACTTCTATGTGCATATCAATTTGTTTATCCATTCATTTGTTGAAGGGCCTTTGGGTTTCTTCCACCTTTTGGCTATTATGAATAATGCCGCTAAAAACATGAGGGTACAAATATCTGTTCAAGTACCTATTTTCACTTTTTTGGGGGTATAGACCCAGAAGTGGAATTGCTGAATCATATGGTAATTCTATGTTTAGTTTTTTAAGAACTCATCATATTGTTTTCCAAAGTAACTGCACCATTTTACATTCCCACCAGAAAAACCCAAGGTTTCTAATATCCCCACAACCTCCCCAATACTTAAGACTTTCTGTTTTTTTGATAGTGGCCATCCTAATGAGTGTGAAATTCATTGTGGTTTTGATTTGTTATTTCCCTAATGACTAGTGATGTTGAGCATCTTTTCATTTGTTTATTGGTCATTTGTATATTTTCTTTGGAGAAATGTCTATTCAAGTCCTGTGCTCATTTAAAAAAAATTTTTTTTTATCAGTCTCAGAGGTAGAATTTAGTGATTCATCAGTTGCATATAATACCCAGTGCTCATTACATCATGTGTCCTCCTTAGTGCCCATCACCCATTTCTCTTTTGCCCCCCACCACCTCCCCTCCAGCAACCCTCGGTTTGTTTCCTTGAGTTCAGCATCTCTTAGGATTATTCGTGACCAAGTGGGATTTATTCCTGGGCTTTGCTCATTCTTTAATCAGGTTATTTTTTGTGTTGCACTGTAGGATTTCTAGATCCATCTGCTATTAAAACTCCACCCCCTATTATCTCCATTCCCCCTCGCAGGCTTTTCTCTGGGCGCCACAGTACAGTCTCATACCAAAGGAATCTGGATGTGGTGTGTGCCTCATCCCAAGAAGCCAAACCACACCCTAGTTCTCCTGGACACTGAGGGCCTGGGAGATGTAGAGAAGGTAAGGATTAAGGATTCACTTTTGGAATTAGACCCTCATCCCTGAATATTCTCTACAGTATTTATTTTTTTAAATAAGAGCTTTCACTTAAATGTATGCTTTTTTCATATCTGCTTCTGTGCCCTGAGGCCAAGTTTAGCAATCAGGGGTCAGGAAAATATTCATAAAGCAGAATCCTAGAAGATCATGGTGGTCAGTAGGTAGTATTCTAATTATTAACAATAGGCTGCATGCCAAGCCAGTTAACCCAGATACATAAAAGTAGTACAAATAAAATCAATGTCATGAGTTCAATCCTGCAGAGAACTTTAGTTAAGAATTTAGGTTCTGGGGCGCCTGGGTGGCTCAGTTGGTTAAGCGACTGCCTTCGGCTCAGGTCATGATCCTGGGGTCCCGGGATCGAGTCCCGCATCGGGCTCCCTGCTCGGCAGGGAGTCTGCTTCTCCCTCTGACCCTCCTCCCTCTCATGCTCTCTGTCTCTCATTCTCTCTGTCTCAAATAAAAATAAAATAAAATAAAATAAATCTTAAAAAAAAAAAAAAGAATTTAGGTTCTGGAGTGCTTAGGTGGTTCAGTCAGTTAAGCGTCTGCCTTCAGCTCAGGTCATGATTCCGGGGTCCTGGGATAAAGTCCTGCATCGGGCTCCCTGCTCAGTAGCAAGTCTGCTTCTCCTTCTTCCTCTCCCTCTGTGCTCTTTCTCACTCTCAGCCTCTCTGAAATAAATAAGTAAAATCCTAAAAAGAAAAAGATTTTAGGTTCTGAAGTCCCATACCCTTGTGTTTAAATATAAGCCCTGACACTAACTCAGAGGCCTTGGCAAATTATTTGACCTCTTTTAACCTCAGCTTTCTAAATCTGTAAAACAGATGTAATAGATATATAATTGCCTCATAGTATTGTTTTGAATAAGGTAAGTAATGGAAAATGTTAGGTGTATAATAATTGCTCAGTAAAGTAGCTACACATATTATTACTCTTATATAAGTCAATTTTGCTGTAAAAAGGAAGAGGAATCTTTAAACTTAAATTATATTTAAGGCCTTAGAATGCCCACCAACCTTGATTATTGGTTTTGGAATTATCTGCCAATGATCATAAAAGGACCTAGTAAGAATCAATGTAAACTAAAAATACTAATTATAAAATGATCCAAAATTCAAGTCCCACTAACACTTTTGTTTGGATTTGGTTTTCTCATATAGGTCATTATTCTAATTAAATGAGCATCTTTTTACTGCTGCTGATCTGGAAAGTTCCAGGAGAATGAAACATAATCTCAGCCCGAATGTGTTCTGATTTCCAGGGTAACAACCAGAATGACTCCTGGATCTTTGCCCTAGCAATACTCCTGAGCAGCACCTTTGTGTACAATAGCATGGGAACCATCAACCAGCAGGCCATGGACCAACTGCAGTATCCTTTTTGTTGTTCAAAATAGCATCAAAGTAAGAGGGGAGACCTATATTTAAAAACCAGCTGCTTGGCAGTGAATCCTGGTGAATCAAGCACAGAAAGAGAAGACTTAAGAAATAATTCAAGGGTGGGATGCCTGGGTGGCTCAGTTGGTTGGGCGACTGCCTTCGGCTCAGGTCATGATCCTGGAGTCCCGGGATCGAGTCCCGCATCGGGCTCCCTGCTCCGGGGGGGGGGGGGGGGAGTCTGCCTCTCCCTCTGACCCTCCCCCCTCTCATGTGTGCACTCCCTCTCTCATTCTCTCTCTCTCAGATAAATAAATAAATAAAATCTTAAAAAAAAAAAAAAGAAAAGAAATAATTCAAGGGTAAGGGAACGATTCTATGTACCCACTGAAGAATTGACACTTGGGTTAAAAACAAAGGTGAAATGAAGGTTTTAAATATATGGAACTAATATGGGGTGGAGGACACTTCTTTTATGCCAGTTTTCCTCATTTTGCTACTCAGCTATGTGACAGAGCTGTCAGATCGAATCAGGGCGAAATCCTCCCCTGATGCCGATGGGATTGAAGATTCGGCTGACTTTGTGAGCTTCTTTCCAGATTTTGTGTGGACACTGAGGGATTTTTCCTTAGATTTGGAAGCAAATGGACTAGCCATCACAGCAGATGAGTACCTGGAGAATTCACTCAAGCTTAAACAAGGTAAAAGGAAGGGACTTAGAAATAAATGGAGATAACAAAACACAAGAAACTATAGTTTTAGTGTTCCATTTACAGTTTTCTTACATTTATAGTTTTCTACTTATTCTTAGCTAGCTATAACTAAGAATTAATGCTTGTTTGATATATGAATTAATAAATTTGATTTTAAATTATATTCTCCTCTCTTCTAAGAATAATTTCCTTTTCTTTCATCTTTTCCTGTGCTATTATTAGTTTGATTTTATTTCCCTGCTTTGGGCTTGCGATTAGCTAACGAATATGGAATAGAATAGACATTGATTGGAAGAAAAGAGATGAAGGCATGAACAGTGCTCTAGTCCAAGGGTTGGCAAATGATGGCCCACAGTTCAAATGATGGCCAATCCAGCACACCAGCTGTCTTTGTACATAAGGTTTTATTGGAATAATGCTATACCCATTCATTTATAGATTGTTTATGGCTGCTTTCATGCTGCAACAGCAGAACTGCGTCCTTGGAAAAGAGACCCCCTGGCTTGCAAAGCCTAAAATATTTACTGTTTGGCTCTTCACAGAAAAAGTTTGCAAGACCCTATATTTGGGACATTCCTTTTTTATCTTCCTGCAGGTACCACTCAAAGTGATCAAAATTTTAATCTGCCCCGTCTCTGTATCCGGAAGTTCTTCCCAAAGAAGAAATGCTTTATATTTGATCGACCTACTCACCGGAAGAAGCTAGGCCAGCTTGAGACATTGCATGATAATGAGCTGGATCCTGAATTTGTGCAACAAGCTGCAGTCTTCTGTTCCTACATCTTTAGCAATTCCAAAATTAAAACTCTTTCAGGAGGCATCAAAGTCAATGGACCTCGTGAGTCCTCTTCCCAGTCTTTTTCTTTAATTGTTAAGACTAAAGGAGGGTAGAATTATATCCACACAGTTTCAGATTTAAAAATGCAGATCCTACTGCTATTACCATTTAAATTCTAGATGACACCAACATTTTTAATAGATTTTACTAGCCAAACTCTCTTGGGTGAGAAAAGATAGGAGAGGCCAAAGGAAAAAAAGCTCTATTTCTTAAAATTGCCCTAGTTAATTGGACTTGCACTGCCCAATATGGTAGCCACTATACAAGTGTGGCTATTTAAATTTAAGTGTAAGTTAATTAAAATTAAATAAAATTTAAAATTCCAATTACACAGCTATATTTCAAGGCCCATACCTATATGGGGTTGGTAGCTGGACAACGTACTGCACAATACACATAGAACACTTCCAACATCACAGAAAGTTCTCTTGGACAACACTATGCTAGAATAAACAAAACTGAGAACTCTTTTTGATTTATTCTACAATATTGATCAAATGTTTACCACAGACCAGGGCTGCTAATAGAGACATACATGAGAGAGCTATGATTCCTGTCCTAATGATGCTTGGGGGTAAAGTAGATGCAAGCACTCAATAAACATAGGCCCATGCTATCTATAACAGAGATTCTTGACCTTTGATGTATATACATATCACCTGGGCATCTTGCCAGAGAGGAGGGTCTAATTAAGTTGATCTGGGGCAAAGGCTGAGAATCTGCATATCTAGCAAGCTGCCAGGTGATCCTGAGGACACTGATGCTGTGAGGCAAATGGGTAGTAATAAACATGATCAGAATTACACAGAATAGAATGTTTCCTCATCCCACCTACAATAAGCATCCTTATTTGTTCTCAATTTATAGGTCTAAAGAACCTGGTGCTGACCTATGTCAATGCCATCAGCAGTGGGGATCTGCCCTGCATGGAGAATGCTGTCCTGGCCTTGGCCCAGATCGAGAATGCAGCTGCAGTGCAAAAGGCCATTGCTCACTATGACCAGGAGATGAGCCAGAGGGTGCAGCTGCCCACTGAAACCCTCCAAGAGCTGCTGGACCTGCATAGGGCCTGTGAGAAAGAGGCCATCGAACTCTTCATGAGCAGTTCCTTCAGAGATGTAGACCATTTATTTCAAAAGGGCTTAGCGGTAATTTGTTCTCAAGTTTATATGGATTAGGGCCTTGGAAAGCCAAGTACTACCAGAAAATGAAATGAGCATTTATTTTGAGAGGGATTTCCTACTAGACTTTAAAGTGGTGATAACCACTATTTGTTATTATCATAAAAAGAACAAAGTTTATTTTGATCTTCCTCAAAATTTAACTAAATGCATATAAGTAACAATCAGAGTTTCTAAGCAAATGCCCACTGTTATCAGACTGATTTGATATCCTAGTCAAAAGCAAAGAAAATTGTACTCCTGATTATCATATGCAGGCTGATATTGAGCCACATTTATTCCATACGTAATCACTGGTCCAATTTGACAAGCAGAAATCTATCTCTTAAAGGTGTAACAAAAAAAAGTTAGCACTCTGCTCTGAACTTCACCTCCAAGGAAAAAGGGCCTTTAGTAATAGTCAGGAGCAGGAGGAAGGATATGGTCCTGTTGAGGTGCCTATAACTTTTTCTAGGGTCACAGACTTATTTTTGAGAAGACTTTCCAGAATCTCCAAGGTCAAGTTAACATCTTTTCCCTGTTATTCTTTTTACTTCTTATTTTTAAATTAAAGGCCCAACTAGAAAAAAAGCGAGATGACTTTTGTAAACAGAATCTGCAAGCATCAACAGATCTTTGCTCAGATTTACTTAAGGATATTTTCAGTCCTCTAGAAGAAGCTGTGAAGCATGGGATTTATTCTAAACCAGGAGGGTATCGTCTCTTCACCCAGAAGATGCAAGAGCTAAAGAGAAAGTACCTTCAGAAACCTAGGAAGGGGATACAGGTAACCAGGATTTATCTGCTGATTCTGGAAAGCTGCTGACATGCCTTCTTAGAAGACCAACATAACCAAGTGTAATCTCACACATTGCAAGAACAACAGCATTCATGCTTTCATTTGATAAACATGTATAGGGAGCCTATTATACCAGATATGTCCTCTGTGCTCATCCAAAACAGTGCACTCAATTAATAATTGAGTTATTAATTGGATTTTCAGATTAACCACCAAGTTGTTATTGTAATTCACTATTATAGCTGGATCTTTATGCTGTCAGGGACAGAAACCCAGTGATGGTCACTTAAACAAAAATGGTAATTCATCATTTTAGGCTACATATTCTCCCTCCACCTTTCCTTTGATCTGCTTTCTCCATGGTGGCTTCCTTTTTCAGCGACTCACCCCACAGGGGACCACAGCAACAACAACTCCAAAATTAGAGCCCTTAGTCTAAAAGAACAAAGAATCTCTTTTTCCCAGTGTCTCTATCAGTCTCCTATAAAGGATTCTGCTTAGTAGGGTGCCATGATTGGCCAGCCTGGAGCAAGCGCCCATACCTGTGGCAAGGAATCTTGACCACCAAGCACACCAGGGCCAAGAGGATCAAATCCTAGAGGAAAAGATGGTGGGAAGACAATCAGGAACAAGCATTTCTAGCCATTTCCTATAACTAACCATGTGTTCTCCGGGTCCTAAGGCTGAAGAGGTTCTTCAGGAATACTTGAAGTCCAAGGAGTCTATGACTGATGCCATTCTACAGACAGACCAGACTCTCACAGAAAAGGAAAAGGAGATTGAAGGTGAGGAGCCAGTCAAGAGACTAGATAGCCTCATGAGCTCTCGAAATTTAAATAATTTGGCTGGGCAAGCCTGCAATCCTTACACTAGGGCAAAAAGAACAAAGATGCCCCTTACTTGCCGAAGTCATTTCTGAGTAGGGCATATACAGTGAGCAGCAACAAGGACAGGTAAACGTGCAGGGAAGAAAGGGACAACATGCTTACTCACATACATTTTTCTTCTTCTTTTTCCTTCTCACAGTGGAACGTGTGAAAGCCGAATCTGCACAGTCTGCAACAAAAATAATGAAAGAAATGCAAATAAAGAATCAGCAGATGATGGAACAGAAAGAAAGGAGCTATCAGGAACATGTGAGACAATTAACTGAGAAGATGGAGAGGGATAGAGTCCAGTTGCTGAAAGAACAAGAGAGAACTCTAGCTTTAAAACTTCAGGTATTTAATTGCATTACCTTGAGATTTCTGTTTGTCTCTTTTCTCACCACTGTCCCTGATCATATCTTAGTGTAGCAGTGAGAACATAATGCCTAGAAAAAGGACCTTGCTTGCCACTTGTACTTTGCAGTTTCTGTCTGCCTTCCTGACCTGGCTCCTGCCTCTGTCTAGTTGTTAAAAGATTTTATTTGCAGTTAGGTCACATCCAGTCCTTTATCTGTACATCCTCCAATCAGTGGCTGTTATCTGCTAGGCATCCGGAAAAATCACTTATTTGTATCTCTTGCTTAATACTATATGAAGCATTGGGTTGCCTGGGTGGTTCAGTGGGTTAAGTGTCCACCTTCAGCTCAGGTCATGATCCCAGGGTGTGGGATCAAGTCCCACATTGGACTCCTTGCTCATTGGGAAGCCTGCTTCTCCCTCTGCCTGCAGCTCCCCCTGCTTGTGCTCGCTCTCTGTCTCTCTCTGATAAATAAATAAATAAATAAATAAATAAATAAATAAATAAATAAATAATGAAATCTTTAAAAAAAAATACTATATGAAGTAAGAACTGCTATGCCTCTATTACTTAGGAAAAGAAACAGAAGTTCAGAAAAGTTCCAATAACTTTTATAGGGTCACACATCTTGGTATGATATCTGAACTGTCTTCACCCCTTGGTGGAAATGTAATCACAGAGCTAGGATGCCCAAGAGAAATTAATGAAAATTAAGTGTAGAGAAAATGTCAAAAAGAAATTAAATATTTAAAAAATCTATGAATGTGGAAACTAGATATAAATGAGAGATTAACTTAGTACTACACTTTACTCAGTCTCCATTTTTCCCTTTTTTAGGAACAGGCCCATCTACTAAAGGAAGGATTCCAAAATGAGAGCAAACAACTTCATAATGAGATACAAAATCTCCAGAAGAACATGGAAAAGCCAAGGAGAATATGCCTCATAAGCTGAAGACCTAAAGAATAGAGCTTTTCTGGTCACTCTTACCCAAGGCATAACTTAAGTAATTTTTGAATTTGTAAAAATATCATTACATTTGAAAGTAATCAGGTCTTGCATTTTTATAACATTAGACATTTGCAAAGACATGCAGTACTATAATTAAAATCATGTCCATCTTCCTAAAAATATTGTAAGTTGTGTAACAAAGTTCAGTTTTACCTCTCTAACAACACAGAAGGTATCTGAGCTGTACCATTCAAGAGCAGTTTATTTCTCTGGGTGACCATTAGTTGACAAATGGATACTGAGCCAAGTCTTAGGTAAAACTTTAAGAACATAGTTGGGCATCAGTTTGGCCAAGTGTTCAATGGGTTTCAGTGTCAAGGACAACCATCCTAGCTTTTTAGTGAAGACTATGCAGTTTTCTATTGTATCCCAACTGCACAGTCTGAGCAGTTAAGTGATCACTAGGCCCTAGGAATGGACAACCCTCCTTGATGGATTCTGAGCTGAAGCAAACCACCTTAGATAGAGATCTAGAATCTCTACAGAATTTTCATACGAAGATGGAAGAAACCATTAGCATGAGTAGGGGTTGGGTCACAAACAAATGGGCTAAAAAACGAAACACTCCTTTCTTGCTCGATTTACCCAGATTATAACTTTAATGAGACACTTTAGAATTTTAGATAATTGCCACTGGGCTGAACATGGTAACATGATGGCAATTATGCATTGTGTATTTATAACAATGTATAATTCACAAAGATGGACTTTAAATGATGACAGATAATGTATTAGAAACTGAACCAAATTATTAGATCGTTTATAATCCTATAAATTAGGCAATATTTTCCCAATTCTTAACAGTCTATACTTGAAAGTTTACTGATTTTCCCCAAAGAAATTATAGTTTGTTTTTTATATTTTTTGACCAACAAAATAATGCTTTTGGTATTACTTAGTATATATAGGCTTTATCCTAATTTTCTAAAATCCTAGGTAATGGTTATTTCTTAAAAATGATTAAAAATTATTTTCAAGCTGAAAATAAAATGTGCTTCACTGGGCTTTTTATTTCTGATAGTTTTTTTTTTTTCAGTTTTCACCAAAAAATAAGGCTTTACTCTTCATAGCAATGTTGGCTAACTTTTCTGCAAAAGACCAGATGATAATTATTCATGGCACTGTGGGCCCTACAGTTTCTGTATCAACTGCTCAACTCTGCCATGTAGTGTGAAAACAGTCATAAACAATAGGTAAATGCATGGCCATGGCTGTGTTCCAGTAAACCTTTATTTTAAAAAATAGGTGGCACCCATAAGCCATAGTTTCCAGATTATTGCTCTATTAAACCATTGGTCAAATACTATGTATCTGCCTTATGTTGCTTACATTTCTAAGGGAACGTGCATTAAATTGTATGTTAGGATCTTGAAAATATTACACAATGTTTCAATATATTACAAGTTGAGAGAAATATAGGGAAGCAGCTAAATGCCATTAAATCCACATTAATAAGCCTGCTTTTTCTGATTGCATGGGGACATATTATTCCATTAAACCTCCTTGCGTCCCATCAAATGGTGAATGCCTCTTTCCACAGTTGAGAACATGCTACTAAGCAGTATTTCTTCACTTGCCTGCAACTTCATAGGAGACCAGGTGAGATGCACAGCATGTGTGTAAGTATACACACAGACCCACGGTGCTTATGTAAATATGCTTTATATTTTTCTTTTCCAAGCTGCATTGCAACAAAGGAGTAAATAAAATACATTTTTATAGACTAAAGAAACTTCATGGTAAAGAAACACTTATTCTTTCTTTTATTAATGTGGTGTATCATGTTGATTGATTTGGGAATATTGAACCAGCCCTGCAGCCCAGTAATAAATCGCACTTGATCGTGGTGAATAATTCTCTTAATGTACTGTTGGATTCGATTTGCTAGTATTTTATTGAAAATTTTTGCATCCGTGTTCATCAGGGATATTGGCCTGTAATTTTCTGTTTTAGTGGGGTCTTGTCTGGTTTTGGAATCAAAGTAATGCTGGCTTCATAGAATGAGTTTGGAAGTTTTCCTTCCATTTCTATATTTTTGAACAGTTTGAGAAGAAAAGGTATTAACTCTTCTTTAAATGTCTGGTAGAATTCCCCTGGGAAGCCATCTGGCCCAGGACTTTTGTTTGTCAGGATATTTTTGACTACTGATTCAATTTCTTTGCTGATTATGGGTCTGTTCAAATATTCTATTTCTTCCTGTTTCAGTTTTGGTAGTTTACAATTTTCTGGGAATTTTGTGTACCTTCTCACAATCCCATAGATCCATGCAGGCAGCTGAGAGTTCCTACCCCTTTTCTTTGCTCTTAGTAGCCCCAAGGCAAAGTTGCCTCAGTGCTCTTGAATGAGTTGAGATAGAAGTAGATCTTTTGGGCAGCATCCTGAAAAGTGAGGCTAATGTCAGACATTTGCTTTACTCATTTTTTGCCCCTGAGGGAAAAATTGTGAGCTGAGGGGATTTCTTTAGATGCTGAGCTGTTCCAACTTGTGGGAGGGACTGACACCAGTAAAGTGAAATAGCATTCTTTTATTGGTGTTTTCGGTTAGGGATGAGGGTTAGGACTTCCTCTTCCATTATCTTGCAGATTTCACTTCAGATTTTTTTTTTTTAACTACAATCTGTAACAATGTGGACAGAGGGAAAAATATAGGGCCAAATATGGTAGGACCTAATGAGTTTTTTAATGCATGTAAAAATGCAAAAACACGATGTGTCCTCATCACTTTGAGGAATCTGTCATACCTACTTCCTAAGCATCATGCTTAATTCTAACTTTGTTCTCCATAAGCAAAAGTTAATTATCCCATCAAAATCACCAGATGTCAGCAATTTTACCTAATAATTGGTCTCTCCTATAAGAAAATACAAATGGACTTAAGCAGTCTCTTTTAAGAAGGTGATATATAGAAAAAAGTATACATATGTGCATATACATTTTGCCTTTCAAAATCTGAATTTTTATGTCTGCTGTATAAAAATGTCATTATATATATTATATTATATTTATATATATATTTATATATAATTATATATATAAATGAATCATCAGAGCCAATCTTTGTGAAAGGAGAAGGGGGCATCTAGAAGATCACAAGAAAATGTGGCTGGGTGCCTCCGGCCTAAAGAACAAATTCGAACTATGTCTGTAGCCCTGTGGGCCTAGCTGCTTAGGTTGGCGCCTGCAAGGTTTGCAGAGCAGGAGTACCAGCTTGGTACTGCCTTCTTGGAGAGGGAGGGGGGACCCATTTAAACAAACATCCATCATGGTGTCTATGGAGCTGGTCTTCCTTAGGTTAGATGGTAAATGCCATATCCGACTGGAGTCGCATAGAGTCCCACGGGCAGAATGGGAAGCACAGGTCTATGGAAAGGGTAGGACGTTCCATATATGGATGCTGCTTGCAGGAGCGAGTTGATGGGAAAAGGGAGGCCGAAGCCAGAGGACAGCATAGGTTTTACAGCCATTTTCAGCTTTTCTAGTTCTGCCTCCTGCAGTCTTTTCGCCTTGGCCCTTCGGTTCTGAAACCAGATTTTGACCTGGGTCTCTGTGAGGTTCAGAGAGCTGGAGAACTCTGCACTCTCTACAGTGGAGAGGTACTGTTTCTGGCGGAACTTGTGCTCCAGAGCGAGGAGCTGGGACGTGTGTAAGGGGTTTGTGGCTTCTGATTGGTCCTGTGCTTCCGCAGGGTGCAGGTGGTGGGGCTCGTGTGTCTTGGCGGTGGCAAGTATCTGCTGTGTTCCTGCATGCACGTGGCCCCGTTTTGTGAGTTTTCCGACTTGACAAGGCGGCCTGGAAGGGCTTGACCAGCGGCCCAGGGCAGGGTGGCCCCAGCGCTGGCGCTTTCGGCTGGCTGGCAGTGGGGACGCCGCCTTGGGCGGCTTCTTGTCCGACGTGAGCTCTGAAGGGCAGGCTGGAGACCTTGACGCGGCGCTCCTCCACTCCCCCAGGCCCTGGGCCCGGCCCAGCCACCATAGCCCAGCCACCATCGCCTGGCCCTCCTCATCAGACGAAAACAAGTCCTTGCCTTTGGACGGAGGAGCCATGACTTCTCTGCCCTACGGAGCGCGCGACTCCCTGCCCAAATGATTTTTGATCTGTGGAGGACAGCTTTCACTGAGGGAGCTCTGCTATTTTGTCTGGATCTCAGTGTTCTGTGTGTTCCCTTTCTCTAGATCAGGGGATCTTATATATCCTTTCAATAAACCTACAGAGGGGAAAGTAACATCCTGACATTTAAACAAGAGAAAATATACTTCTCTAGGTTAAAAAGAATTTTGCCACAAGAACACCATAAGGGTCAGCAAATATAGGTCCTAACATGTGGTAGCTTTGGCACACTGAAAGCTTATAGCCTTGAATTGCCTTTTTCTTGTTACTGTATCACCCAATGACTTATCTCAGATCTACTGTATCAGAAAGTCAAGGGAAGGGTAGGGGCCAGGAATCTTTATTTTTAGGAACTTGGTTTTAATTCACAGCTGGATTGAGGATCACTGGTGAAAGCAACATGCCTCCCCGGAGAGAGAGCTTTATTTTGTTCCTGGACATAGTATAGAAAAAGCCTAAACCAGACATCAGATGGTTTGAAATCTGGTATAGACTCATGCTACCAAGCTAGGGAGGAAGTTATGTAATTTTGCTTAGTTTTCAATGTTCTTATTTTTAAATGGTTTTTAAGAGACCCCTATTTGGTTTTGAAGGCATAACGATAAGTGTTGCGGAAAAATAAAAATCAGACCGGCGAGAGACCAAGTGACACTCAGAGAAGTAGGAGAACTTGGATTTATTTTATGCTTGTGGACCCAGATGAGCTCATGCTCAAAGTTCTGGGCCCCAGGCAACGGGGTTATAGGGCTTTTATAGGGTACTGCAGGCAGTCAGGTTAAAGGGCTATGCTGACTGCTGGTAAGTGGCTTTAAACTGGGGGAGTGGGGGCTTCTTTAGGCGGGAACAGTAGAGCAGGGAGCCTGTGGTGGGAAGCCTGTTTATAGAAGCAGAAATGGCTGGTTATCTCTTGCTCCCAGTAGGGCTTCTGGTTATCTCTAGCTTATTGTTAGTAACTTTCCATTTTCTGGGGCCTCCTAGCCTGGGCCT